TTTCTGCAGTGCATCTTGTATAGTACACACTGCTGCTACTGAGCGTTGGTGGTGGAGGGAGTGGATGCTTGAGGATGTAATGCCAATAAAGCGGGCTGCTTGTTCTTGATGGTGTCAAGCTCCTTGAGTGTTATTGCAGCTGCACTCATCCAGGCAAGTGGGGAGTATTCCATCATACTTCTGACTTGTGCTTTGTCGATGGTGGATAAGTTTTGATGAGTCAGAAGGTGAGTTACTTGCTGCAGTATTCCAAGCCTCTGACCTGCTTTTGTAGCAACTGTGTTTACATGGTGAGTCCAGTTGAGTTTCTAGTCAATGATAACCCGTTGGCTGTTGATAATGGGGGATTCAGTCATGGCAACACCATTGAATGTCAAGGGGTGGTGGTTAGATTGTCTCTTATTGGTGATGGTCATAGCCTGGCATTTGTGGCGTGAATGCTACTTGCTATTTGTCAGCCCAAGCCTGGATATTGTCCAGATCTTGTTGCATTTGAACAGGGACTGCTTCAGTATCTGAGAAATTGCGAATGGTGCAGAACATTGTGCAATCATCGGTGAACATCCCAACTTCTGACCTTATGATGGAAAGTAGGTCATTGATGAAGCAGCTGAAGATGGTTGGGCCTAGGATACTACACTGAGGAACTCCTGCAGACATATCCTGGAACTGAGAATGGCAGATTTCCAACAACTAAGACCATGAACTGCTTCATCAATGAACCCCCCTTCCATCTTAAGATCAAAAATCAGGATTGCTACTGATGATTGTAAAGCATTTGGTTCCACTTGAAAGCAGTCCACACTTTCATGTAGCAAGACCTGCAAACATTCAGGCTTTGCAGGTGCCAGTTAATTATAAGCCTAGCCATCTTCCTTTGGCCTTATCCTCACAAGCCCGCCATAAATATTCTGGCATTAGTATTGATTAAAAGGTTAACTGGACCAGTCGGATAATACTATGACTGCAAGATTAGGGCAGAAGCTTTGGCAAGTAATCCAACAACTGACTGCACAAAGTCTGTCTGCCAAAGTCAAGTGTTAGGTATGTGGTGGAATGCTCCACATTTGCATCGGTGAGTGCAGCATGAACAACACTCAAGAAACTTGACATCATTCAGGACAAAGTGGTCCACTTGATTGGCATCCCATCCACCAACCTAAATATTCGCTCGCTCCATCACTGGCACACCATGAATGCAGTATGTACCATCTACAAGATGTTCTGCAACAATTCACCAAGGCTCCTATCATAGTGCCTTTCAAACCCACAACCTCTACCGGTAGATGGATAATGGTAGCAGGCACAAGACTCCCCTCTATCTTGGAAATACATTAACGTTTCTTCCCTGTCAATGAGTCAAATCCTTGGACTCCCTGCCAAACAGCACTGCAGAAGTACCTTCAAGAACAGACTCCCTTGATTCCCTTGAGGAGGTGGCTTGGGCAATAAATACTGGCATTACCAGCAATGCCATGAACACACAAATATTAAAAATAATGCAAGTTACTACATAGTTTCTGGCAGGAGAATAATTGTGCAAGTATTTAATATAAATGATTCTATTTAATGTTTGAACACAAATAATTATGTTCAAAAAATCAATGGCAATAGTGATTTGCTGAAGATTGGTCACCTGTTCAAATTTCTCACTTTCATTTATATTGTTTTAGTTTCTTAAATTAGTATGTTTTTGAGTTTATTCATCTACTTGTTAAATCTTGTTTCAGCGACATCTCTTTGCTTTCGTTATAGTGGAAAGCTAATATTGATAAAATGCATTTTTTTAACCAAGGTTGAAAAAAAATGAAAAATAAACTGCAAATGGGAAACAATGAGAAGCTGAGGTATTGTGCTGTGAACAGTTCTACAAAGTATGAAAGTAGTTTCTCTTTGACCTCTGAAAACAAAGTATTTTTTAAAAGCTACAGATTGAACGAAAGCCCTGTGTTTAATCATCCATTAGTGAAATAATGTAACTGCTACAATATAATTACTACTCATCAATATAATGGTTAAAATTAGGTTTAAATTGTGGGCTCCCCTGAACTGCTACAAACATTATGTACCAAGGTTCTCTATTTGTGAGTAATTTCAAATCTGATTTTGTCAGATTACCCCCTTATTTGGAAGAACATTGAAATATATTGGTCAACCCATTTTGTTGCCTTAACTACTGTCAACATTATGGAATTCTGGGGGATCATAGAATCAGAATCATAGGATGATATGGCACAAAAGGAGGCCATTTGTCCCATCATGTCTATGCTAGCACTTTCAATATGCTGTCCAATTAGTCCCACTGACTTCATGATCTCACATTTTCCTCATTTGATTATACACGTATTCAACCGAAATAATGTTAAGAGTGAGATCAACAGTTAAAAGTAAACCAAATAAAACCGAAAGAATATGCGGATGCTGTAAATCAGGAACAAAACAGAAGTTGCTGGAAAAGCTCAGCAGGTCTGGCAGCATCTGTGAAGAAAATGTCAGAGTTAACGTTTCGAGTCCAGTGACACTTCCTCAGAACTGATGGTAGCTAGGATAACATCGGTTTATATGCAGAAAATAGAGAGGGGTTGGGGTAGGGAGTAAATGATAGGATAAAGGATAGAGCCCAAAGAGAGAGAAGAGCAGTTGGACAGACAAAGGAGTTGATAACGATCTGGCTAGGAGGGTGAATAGCTGTTAATGGGGACTGTTAGTGACTAACAATACGTAATGTGTAACAGCAGGCTATGTGATAACAAGGCCTGATGTGTGTGGTAGGGTGCTAGGACATGGGAGAGTTTAGGCACTAAAATTATTGAACTCGATATCTGAGTCTGGAGTGCTGCAGGGTTCCCTAGCGAAAAATGAGATATTGTTCTTCCAGCTTGTGCTGAGCTTCACTGGAGCACTAAAGCAAGCCAGAGACAGAGATGTCGGCCATGGAACGGGGTAATGTGTTGACGTGGCAGGCAACTGGAAGCTCAGGGTCTTTTTTGCAAGCAGAACATAGATGTTCTGCAAAGTGGTCATCCAGTTTGTGCTTTGTTTCCCCAATGTAGATGAGACAACATTGTGAGCAGTGAATACAGTAGACTAGATTCTGGGAAGTGCAGGTGAAGTGCTGCTTGACCTGGAAGTTATGTTTAGGCCCTAGGATACTGGGGAGGGAGGAGGTAAATGAGCAGGTGTTGCACCTTTGCCGGTTGCAGGAGAAGATGCCGTGGAGCTGTGGGTGTGTGGCGGGGTGGTGGGAATGAGAGGAGTTCTTCTCTTTTAAATTCTCTCAATTTATTCAGGTCAGAGGGGTGGCCATGGGTACCCGCATGGGCCCCAGTTATGCCTGTCTCTTCGTGGAGTACATGGAACATTCCTTGTTCCAGTCCTATTCCAGCCCCCACCCACAACTCTTTCTCCGATACATCGACGATATCATCAGTCTCGTCCGGAATTGGACCAATTCATCGATTTTGCCTCCAATTTTCACCCTGCCCTCACTTTCACCTGGTCTGTCTCTGACTCCTCCCTTCCCTTCCTCGACATCTCTGTTTCCATTTCTGGGGATAGACTGGCCACTAATATCCATTACAAACCCACTGACTCCCACAGCTACCCAGACTATACATCCTCACACCCTGCCTCCTGTAAAGACTCCATCTCATTCTCTCAGTTCCTCCGTCTCTGTCGTATATGTTCAGATGAGGCCAACTTCGATAAGGGAGCTTCCGAAATGTCCACCTTCTTCCTCAACTGAGGATTTCCCAGCACCGCTGTCGACAGGGTCCGACCCATCTCCCGCACTTCCACCCTCACCCTTTCTCTTCCCTCCCGCAACAGCGATAGGGTTCCCCTTGTCCTTTCCTACCATCCCACCAGCATCCATATCCAGAAGATCATCAGGCACCATTTCCGCCACCTCCAGTGAGATGCCACCACCAGACACATATTCCCATCCCCTCCTTTGTCCGTCTTCCGCAGGGACCATTCCCTCCAGGACACCCCAGTCCACTCTTCCTTCACCCCCCAACACACCCCCACAGCCCCAAGGCATCTTCCTCTGCAACCTGCAAAGGTGCAACACCTGCCCATTTACCTCCTCGGCATCCAAGGGCCCAAACACACCTTCGAAATGAAGCAGCACTTCACCTGCACTTCCCAGAATCTAGTCTACTGCATTCGCTACTCACAATGTTGTCTCCTCTACATTGGGGAAACGAAGCATAGACTCGGTGACCGCTTTGCAGAACATTTACGTTCTCTCGCAAAAAAGACCCTGAGCTTCCAGTTGCCTGCCACTTCAACACATTACCCTGTTCCATGGCCAACATCTCTGTCTCTGGCTTGCTATAGTGCTCCACTGAAGCTCAGTACAAGCTGGAAGAACAACACCTCATTTTCTGCTTGGGGACTCTGCAGCCCTCTGGATTCAATATCGAGTTCAATAATTTTAGGGCCTAAACTCTCTCATGTCCTACCCCACCCCACGCCCCACACATCAGCTCCTGTTATCACATAGCTTGCCATTACACACAATCTATCGTTAGTCACTACTAGTCCCCACTAACAGCTATTCACCCTCCTAGCCAGATCGTAATCAACTCCTTTGTCTATCTAACTGTTCTTCTGTCTCTTTGGGTTCTATTATTTATTCTACCTTACTCCCTACCCCATCCCCCTCCCTATTTTCTGCATATAAACCAACATTTTCCCAGCTGCCATCAGGTCTGAGGAAGGGTCACCAGACGCAAAGCATTAAGTCTGACTTTTTTCTTCACAGATGCTGCCAGACCTGCTGAGCTTTTCCAGCAACTTCTGTTTTTGTGAAACCCCTGAAAAAGCCTATTTGCTCATGTTTTAGGTAAAGTGCTTTGAAAAGTACTCTATACCCACCCCAAACTAGCAAATCTCACTGGAATGAAATCACTCCTAGTGGTAAAACAGTGAACAGCCCTCAAGCGCTTTCTTTGCTGTTCGAGATGTCAAGCTCTCAGCTGACTGAAGCATGTGATTTCTGGTTCCCTCGATCACGAGGGAAGGAAGGGCTATTTCCATATAAAAAAAACCAGTGGGCTAAAGTAGAATTGATACATTTCTGGCTATTCATGGCGTGGACTAAGTACCAGATTTGCCTAGCAGCGATGATGCTGATTACAGGGTCTATTAATACGCTGTCGGCTAAGTAAGTAACAAAATGTATCATTTTACACGGACACACTCTCCAAGGCTGGAGCTGAAACATTACGAGCTCTCCCTCTCTCGCTTCTTCTTCTCACTCTCTTTAAGCAGATCATCGCTCCATTTACAGGGTTTTATTATTTGAACCCGGAGATTGCAATCTTTCATTCTATTTGGAGTTGAAAAACTTCAATTTTATTCCCATTGCGATATGCGATCTAATTCAGCAGCGCAAATTTTATGTTTTTTTTTTCACTGATGGGTCAAGCGGATAGGCTAAATAGAGTTGAGCACTTTTTTTGACTGGAGGTTTAAACAAAGTACTGTGCGATGGATGCCATTTGACTTGTAGTTCCTGGTTTTTTTTGTATTCTAGGTAGTTTCCGTATGCAACTAACGTGGAGGACTGCAAGTCCCAGACTGCAGTGCAGTTAGCGCCGGCAGGAAGTAGAAGGTTAAATTAAACTGGAATGTAGATATTTTTGTAACAATCTGGTTGAGTGTTGTGGCCCGCTTCTGGAGCATGTGGGACTTGATAATCGGGACACGACCCTAGGCCCGAAACGTCAGCCTTCCTGCTCCTCCGATGCTGCTTGGCCTGCTGCGTTCATCCAGCTCTAAACCTTCTTATCTCTGTGCCACAAGACCCCCTTCCAAAACATGAATTGATAAGTGCAGTTGAAAGGCTTTGCACCTACACAAGGAAATGACAATGGTCCTGAAACCTGTCTCTAGTCTTGGCTGCAACGTTAGGCTCCTAAAGTGGAAGGTAGCCACGCTGATGTACTGTATATCACTGACTGGGAACCACTTCCACAATTGAACTGGCAGTCTGTAAGACTTGTTGTTTGGTGTACTTAGTAAGCATTTAATGTGGTACTGCATGTTCTGTTTGAATGGTTAATTAGGATAAATATCCCTTTGCTATATTTGTAGCAGCTCCCCTGCCTCAACCATGGTCCAATCAGACCACCAGGCTTCTCCCTCATTAGAGAGTTGATTGGTGATGATTTTAACTTGAGGGTCACTGCACCTTGGGCAGGGGCAGAAGTTGAGAAGGCGAATCCTTCATGGTAACTTTGGCTGGTCATGTGTGAATGTTTGGAAATGTTTGATTTTTGTTTTCCTTCAGGCTGGAAAAATTTATCAAGTGTGCTGGTATCCACTTGAAAAACAAAGCAACTGATGAGCTTCTCTTGGGTTTAGGGATGGGGGTCTCTAGAGAGACCTGTTTTTCTGGAGGTGGAAATCATTTTAATTGGCAGTTCTGCTCTTGAATTCAAATTCTTATTTTGGTCTTTCCTGATGAGACCCCAAGTAGCTAATTTTAAATAAAGGCAGTGATGTCTCTGTTTCTAAAACAAAACAAAATTTAGTTCTCTAACTCATTGGATGTTATTTCAGAGCAAAATTTTCAAATCTGTACATAAGACAATACCTAGATTGGAGTACTAACAGTGCCTTCTACCAATGTAGTAAGACTTGCCTGCTTTTGTGATTGGTCACTAGCACCATAGAGGTCTCCAGTACAGATATCAGCACCTTGGCCTATTGAGTCTGTGCTGGTCAGAAACAGCCACTTAGCTATTCTAATCCCATGTTTTTTCTGGCATTTCACCCAGAGCCTTGTATCCATGTCATCCTAAGTGCACGTCAAATACTAAAATGAGTATTTCTGTTTCTCTGACCCTTTTAGGCAGTGTATTGTGGATTCCCACGAACTGGTGAAAAACTCTTCTCATTCCCTCTAAACCTCCTATCCTTTTCCTTAAATCTATGTCCCCACCAAGGTTTGGGGGGGGGTGGGGGTGGGCGTGGAAGGTGGGAGTTTCTTCCTGTCTATGCCACTCAGAGGTTATACATCTCAATCATGCCCCCCTTCAGTCCTCTCTTGAGGGAAGACTACCCCAGTCTATCCAATTTCTTCATAACAAAAACATTTTGGCCTACGACACCCTGGGTAAATCTGCTCTGTGCCCTCTCCAGTGCTATCACATCCCTACTATAATGTGGATTCCAGAACTGCACACAGTATTATAGTTGTGGCCTAGCCAATGTTTAATATAGTTTTGGTATCACTTCCCTGATCACAAATATTCTTTTTAATAAAGGTAGTATCCCGTGTGCTGCTTTAGGATTCTAGGACTGGAGAAACCCTGGTTTGCCAGCATCTATTGAGAGATACTGAATTGTTTTTTTTAGTCTGACAATTCTTTGAATTGCTAACTTTTTTTCTCCACAGATGCTGCCAGTCCTGCATTGTTTATTCAGATTTTCTGCATCTGCAATATTTGGGTTTTATTCATACTGTATCCCCCTGACAATAAAAGCCATCATTCCATTTTCCTTCACTTGCTGTATCTGCACAGTGCCTGTGAATCATGCATAAGGATGCACTCCTCTATCACGGCACTAATACACTGCTTTTCTATTCTCTCTGCCAAAGTGGATAACCTTGCATTTTCCTGCATGCTATTCCATCTAGTTATTTTCCCATTCACTTAAACCCTTCAATTTTCCTTTGCAGATTCTGTCACTGTATTCAAATTTCTATATGATAATCAGTCCCTTTTTAAGTTGTTTCTAACTCGTAATTAGTTGAGGTCCCAGCATTGATCCATGAAGCACTTCTGTAATTCCAGCTTTTCAACATTAAAAAGGATTCCTTTTTAATGTCTTGGCTTTATTTTCAATCCTCTGTGCATGCTAATAGATCACGCTCCATTCCAGAAGATAGAGCACATGGAGTGCAGTAACCTTTTTAATTAAGAGATAGTAGGAACCGCAGATACTGGAGAATCTGAGATAACAAGGTGCAGAGCTGGATGAACACAGCAGGCCAAGCAGCATCAGAGGGGCAGGAAGGCTGATGTTTCAGGCCTAGACCCTTCTTCAGAAATGGGGGAGGGGAAGGGAGTTCTGAAATAAATAGGGGGAGGCAGATAGAAGATGGATAGAGGAGAAGATAGGTGGAGAGGAGACACACCAGTCAAAGAGGCGGGGATGGAGCCAGTAAAGGTGAGTGTAGGTAGGGAGGAGATAGGTCGGTCAAGGGGGTGGGATGAGGTTAGTAGGTCGGAGATGGGGGTTGGGGCTTGAGGTGGAAGGACGGACAGGTTAGGGAGGCGGGGACGAGCTGGGCTGGTTTTGGGATGCAGTAGGGGGAGGGGAGACTTTGAAGCTTGTGAAGTCCACATTGATACCATTGGGCCGCAGGGTTCCCAAGCGGAATATGAGTTGCTGTTCCTGCAACCTTCGGGTAGCATCGTTGTGGCACTGCAGGAGGCCCAGGATGGACATGCCGTCTGCTGAATGGGAGGGGGAGTTGAAATGGTTCACGACTGGGAGGTGCAGTTGTTTAGTGTGAACCGAGCGTAGGTGTTCTGCAAAGTGGTCCCCAAGCCTCGGCTTGGTTTCCCCGATGTAGAGGAGGCCACAATGGGAACAGCAGATGCAGTATACCACATTAGCAGATGTGCAAGTGAACATCTGCTTAATGTGGAAAGTCTTCTTGGGGCCTGGGATGGGGGTGAGGGGAAAAGTGCTGGGTGTGGTGGGGCTGGAGGGGTGTGTGGAGCGGACAAGGGAGTCACGGAGAGAGTGGTCCCTGCGGAAGGCGGATGAGGATGGGGAGGGAAAAATGTCTTTGGTGGTGGGGTCAGATTGCAGATGGTGGAAGTGTCGGAGGATGATGCGTTGGATCTGGAGGTTGGTGGGGTGGTATGTGAGGACGAGGAGGATTCTGTTTTGGTTGTTATTGCGGGGAAGGGGGTGTGAGGGATGAGTTGCGGGAAATGTGGGAGACATGGTCAAGGGCGTTCTCGACCACTGAGGTGGGGCGGGGGGATGTTGTGGTCCTTAAAACGAGGACATCTGAGATGTACAGGAGTGGAATGCCTCCTTCAGGGAGCAGATGCGGCAGAGGCGAAGGAATTGGGAATAGGGATGGTATTTTTGCAGAAAGGTGGGTGGGAGGAGGTGTATTCTAGGTAGCTGTGGGAGTTGGTGGGCTTGAAATGGATATTGGTTTCTAGGTGGTTGCTGGAGATGGAGCTCCAGGAAGGAGAGAGAGGTATTAGAGATAGTAGGAACTGCAGATGCTGGAGAATCTGTTACCTGCTTCCTTTTTTCCTCAACCCAACCAATCCACCCTGACTGTTAAATTCTCAAACAACACTATTTCCCTTCAAGACTGCATTGACTCTGTTCCTTGACATAATACTTGAGGTAGAATTCCTTTTTAAAAGAAAAAAAAAATCTGTCATTGAGAAAATAACAAATTAACTGGCCTGCTTCTTTTACCTTTCTGATATAATTATTACACTACATTTTGTCGATCTAGTGGGACTTCCTGGAATCCAGGGAATTTCTGAAGTTACAACCAATGCTTCCACTTTTGTTTGTAGCCACTTGCTTTAAAATCCAGGGCATCAAGTCAGGGAACTTGTCAATTTTTAATCCTTGTTTTCTCAGCACTCTTTCCCATGATTTGCTTTAGTTCCTGACTCTTTGACTTCTATTGTGAAGAAAAAAAATACTTAGGCTGTGCAATTTCCCAGTCTCATTTCTCAAGGGACCTATATTCACTGTTGATAGTTCCTGTAAAATCTTGTATGTTCTATAATCTTTGAGTTGCTTTTTTTATACAAAGCATCAGTAAGCCAGTAGCAGGCTGGAATTGCTGCTTGAAAGCTTTGTTGTTCTCTCTATCCACTTCACTGAATAAGGTGGTAATTGAATGGATGGAATTTGACCTTTTCTGTGAATAGGAAGTACTGTAGTGAAAAATCTACTACATATGATACCTGTAGTTGTAGTGGACCAGCTTGTCTAGGCAGTGTGTTCATTCTGCAGCACAAGGTTTCATTGGGTATGGGATTTGCTATATCTGGTGCTTTCATGCACTTATGTGGAATAAGCTGTTTTGGCTGAAGTCTGGCTTCTGTAATGCTGGAGTCATCAGGAGGCTAAGATGGAGCATCCATTTGCCGTCCAGGTTAAAGG